AATAAAACAAATTAATTGCTTCAACTGTCTTAACTAGTTGCTAGAAATGAAATTCTTCACTTGTTTGGCTGCCAAAAATAATGACAGAAATATAAACATGTTACAAAGCCGAGGGTTTCTCAGGAAAGCTAAATATAATGGGCCTAATTTTGCCCTGGGCAGATGCACTGGGGCACTTCCCGGTGACTTCTGAGGGAATTTCATGAGTGTTTTTAAACAAGAATGCAACCCCCACACTTGACATATCAAGTGCACATCCCTCTCTCTTTATTTTTTTTTTTTTTTTACTCCGTCTTTACTCTCTGTGCACCTACCTTTGTGCATTTCTGTTTGCAAAAAGACCATTCACAATAATTTTGTTATTTTCACAATTTCTTTATGATATTAATCTCTCCATGAAAGGATTTCTTTTAAATGTTGGAGGGAGAAACTTTATCTTAAATGCCTTCAGTAGAGGTAGCTGTTTTGAGAAGCTTGGCTGAATTCTTGACATTCAGGAAAATCGAATGCCCCTGCCCTTGTGCATGAAGATGCACACATGTGTCCTGGTAAATGGACAGAATTTGGGAGCCTCTGGAGTTAGAGGAAAGGTACAGGGAACATCCTGATGAGGTAAAAGGAGGAGTAATTTAATTGTCTAACTCCTTCTGTGCTCGAGAATATCAGACAGATGGGGAGGATAAAACAAGGAGCTCAATAATTAATTTTCATGTTCCTCACTAGTGGGACCTCTTTAATCCCTGTTCCTGTGATTATAGAGAAAGGTTGGATTCTGAAGTTTCACTCATTAGCTACGTGTTGTATGAAAATACCTGTATTTTCAAAAGGAATAGTGACAAGAATGAAAAATTTCCGCTATTAAAAATATCTTGGTGTCAGGGACTTTCGTGAAAGAACAAAAACTCTCTGATTCCCTCAGATAAATAATGAAACAGATGGTTGTTGGGAGGTGAAAGGTCAAACCTTCCCTGTTGACTAAAACACAAGGTTGACTTAAAAGATTTCCTGAAGTTATTCAAGATGCAGTGCATCAGGCTGTGTCTCCTGCCTCCCAAAGACGTGGTTTGGGCATCCTAAAACCCCTGCCAGGGGCAGGTGGGCTCCAGCCACTCATCCAGGGGAGGCTGACACCCATTTCTGCAAAAAAATGTGCTTCTGCAAACTGCATGTATAATAAAGGATATCGGTGAATAATTAAGTGAACTTGTACGGGGATATAGGTTATCTGAAAGGCTAAATATTAAGATTTAATCCACTTCCTCAATGAACTGCACACTTCTGACCTGAAATGGTAGTTGATAAAGGCATCACGAAAAGCTGTAAAGTCCTGAGAAAATTATCAGCAATGTAATTTAGAAAAACGGAAGGAAAACAAACAAATAATGTCTGTAAGGTTAAGCTTCTGCATTCATTAGCAGACTCCTATTAAAGGAGAAGAGGGCATTTTTAAAGCAGCATATAGACTAACTAAAGAGGCAGATGCTCTAACTCATATGATTCAACATAATTTTAGCACAAATTGTGCAATCACTCAAACACACAAACATTTCAAGGTAATTTTCGTAAATCCCTATTGTGATCTAATTTCTTATTAAGGAGAATAAAGCGGGCTGCTGTTGCAATTCATCAGCTCTTTGCACTGCAGAGCAACTGCTGGAGTTCATTTCATGGTTTTTGCTGAAAAAAAATATAGACTTAAATTTTGGGAATTACTAACAACAACCTTCAACTAAAGACTCTTTTTTATTATTATTTTATTTATTATTTTTTTTATTATTATTTTTCCCAGATAGAGTTTAAGGCTAGATACAAAAATTGTATCTGAGATTTGAGGAGGTCATAAGAATCAGAGCCCATCTCAGGGCCAAATGACTGAGCACTATGGGGTGGCTTGCAAGGGACATGGTGCAGCAGAAGACACCCATGGGCTTCTCATGAAGGGCATCTCTGCGCAGAATGACAAAGAGCCACGTGAAGAGCACACTGTGTTTATTATTTCTGCCTTCCTAAACAAGATCAAATATTCCTTCCTCATGTGGACTTGGGCCTGGCTCCCACAGCCTTCTCCAGGCCACCTCCACAGGCTGAGGCACACGAGAGCACCGTGCTGCTCCTGCCACCAGCGACGGTGCCAGTGGTCACGCTTCCTGCTGCAGTCACACGAGTGCAATAAGTAAGACAAATACAAATCTCTTGCATAGTAATTTACAAATAAAAGTTCATTTTGCTCTAAAGGAGGCGCACAGCCGCTGGTGCGTGCTGTACATGTGCGAAGGGGGAATTCCCTGACTTCACAGCAGAAGAGGCGAGAGATGCCGCTCCATAATTTGACCTAATTTTTTTCCAAATACAAAATGACCTGTTACAGCATCCCAGGGAGAATATGAATTAGCCCAGGTCAATAGGAGGTCAAATAGATAGGGTGCTAAAATCCCTTTACTACTTTGTAGTATCTTATGCTAATTCAGTTCCCTTCTCTGTGATAAACAAAGCCAGTTGAAAGTAGATAGCATCACACAGTGATGGGTCCCAAAGCTACAATTTAATACAAATCTAGTAATTCCATTATACAACATATCCAGTTCATTTAGAGGCAGCGAATACTTAAGAAGGTCCAGGACTGAAATACCTTAGCTGATATATTTAAAATATAAATAATCCAGCAAAATTTCATTTGTCACATAAACCTAATAGATGCACATGATAGAAATTCTGTCTGTCCTTTAAAATGTTTCTCACATGTAAATCACAGATCTCGGTTCCTTATATACCAATATTAGAGGTTTTTTAGGTGCATAATCAGTAGGTACATACATACATACAAAAAAATAATAATTATATATTAAAAAAATCCTCCCTGTTCTCTCTCTGTAAAAAGTGATGTTAAATAAGCCTAATGAGAATTCCTGATTTAATAAAGCTTAGCTGTTCACAATGTTTTACAGGCAATGCTTTTCACCTTGGAAGGATTGTGCCTTGGTTGGCAGCTGAACCCCCACAGGGCACCACTGCCACATTGAGCCCTGGGGCTGGGGACATGAGAGTGGCCGGGGTGTTGGGGCAGACCGCTGCTCCTGGAGGTGCTGCCGTGCCTCCAGGTGGCCAGGGACACGGGCTGAGCCTGAGGGGCAGCCTCCCAATGCTCTGCATCACAGGTAGCTTAGAGCAGCCTAAGTGGAACTGCATCACAAAGTAGGAGATGTGTAGCACAAGGTATGAGAGGGATACACTTCTTAACAGACAGAGAAACACACATGGAAAAGATGTTCTGGATGGCTGAAGACTCAACGCCACTGGCCTCTGAGCTTTCTGAGAGATCAGGTTAAGGCAGGTAACCCCCAGACAGCTTTTACAAAGGATTAAAAATTGCTGAATTTCTGCCTGGTGAACAGGAGTGTCGTGATGGCCATTAGGCAGAGGGAGGGAGAGAAATTGCAGAGCAGCACTGCCCAGAGAAATAACTGATGGGCACAAGGGGCCATGTGGCAGCAGAAGAGGAGCAGACCCTCAGCCTGACCATAAATGACTGGAAAGAGGTACCCATGCGCTTTGGGGTCAGTGAAATTAGTACTAACTCCAAGAAACTGTAAAAGGTTTGTGGATGTAACTGGTTTATGCTACAAATGATGCCTGGCATGGCATAGGTGATATTTTGCTCCAGAAAATGAGAACACACGAGTGACCAGAGCCTTCAGCTGGACAATTCACAGAACAAAATGTAAATTCTTTGTAATGCAAGAGTAATTCTTTGTATTGCAGTCATGGTAAGATTGAAGGTACCCGTCCCAGAAGCAAAATATGTGCAAATACTGCATGGAAGAAAAAATGTCTGACTGCCCAAATGTTCATCTGTATTGCTGCTGCTCAAGGTTGTTATAGATGTGGATGTAATTTTAATAAACAGCTTGTGTGACCCGATAGATGGGGAGAACCAGAGTGGTTTCCTACCAGCTAGGCTCTGCCAACCATCTGACTGTAACGGGATGTAAAATATCTACTGGAAAAATCTCATTTGGAGCTTGCTCTGTCATAGCCCTGTATCCAGTGCTGGATTCTGTTCATATCCACTGTTAGTTGCTGGCATTGTGAGGAAGGGAGGAAATTACATCTTTAAGACTGTGGAAGAGCCAGCTGAAGGCAGAGGTTGTTAAGTGCCAAAGCTCAGGTAGCACAATGCTCCTTGGGACTCAGATATGGAAAGCAGACATTTGTCAGGTTCCTTGGCTCTGAGAATTTAGTGAACTTGTCTCACATAAATTACCAATGATTAGCAATGAAAAGTAAGGTGGTTATTCAACATCAGGCACCTAAGCTAGGTGTCTAAATCAGAGGCACGAGCTTCCTATACCCTGTCAAAGATATTCCTGTGGAGGGAGTCTGTGCTCTCTTCTATTTTCCACTACTATTAATGCTTCTTCAGGCTACAAGAGGATTTAACCCTACTGGTCAGGTTTTTCATCAATTTTAGCAACTCCTATCCATGGCTCTGGTATAAACGTTCTTGTCTCTTAGACTTTTGCCTTGGATTCCAGCTTTCAGCCCAAATCTCCGGACAGATATCTTCCAGCTAAGCTCAGAGCTTTAGGTCTAACTTAAAATGGCAGGTCGGAGCTTCGCTAACAGAGACATGCTGGAAATTGCTTTCAGTGCACTTTGGTTGGAGTCAGAGAGCTGGTAAAATTAACCTGCTCAGGGAAAAAGCTGCAACAGAAGACACCGAAAGGCTGTGAAGAACTGTGGAAGAAATCTAGCCATCCACAACCCAAAATGCAGGGTCTGCTGTAGCAGCCCATTGCAGAGAGCGAAGTGCACAGCCATGGGCAAAACAGCAGCACGCTTCCTTCCCTGCTAAATTCTAGGTTCAGGTGATAAACCTGTTGCTCGTTAAGAGATGGAGCTAATTGGAGAGGAGCTTGGAGAGGAGGCTGGACTTCAGCTGGCCAGGTTGGTGGGAGCTGCAGATTGCTGGGATTTTCTCCAGGATAAAAGGAGGGTGACAGCAGGACCTGGTTGCTGCCTGTGGGGTTTGCTTTGAGGCTGGAGGGAGGGAAGCCTTGGCCCTGGGAGCAGGAGTTTTTCTCCTGGCTCTTTCACGGGAAAAGTAGAGGTGGGGAGATGCACCATGTCTGGAGGATAGAGGTCCTGGAAGGTGTTTTTCTGAGTGGAAGGAAATATGCACTTTCTGAATGGACTTTTTTTTTTTTTGCTATTTGATATCTCCTTTCCAGGTGAGTGCCAGTGACCTTTTCACAGGTCCTTTATGAGCTCTGTGTTTTGTTCAGCAGCGCCACTTTGTGAAGCACTGCAGGGTGTAAGGGATCCTGGGAGCCCATAGCAGATCAGTTCTGTCAGGTGCCATTATTTTTTTATTTTGGAATTACTTCATTATTTGGATAAAGATGTGCTTTCAGAGGGGTAATAACGCTTTATGCTTTTACAGCTCTGGTGTGATTAATTGTTAGTTTTTAGAAAATCTTGCTAAAGCTATGTTAATGAAAAGGCTGTAAATTATTGTTGCTTTTCCTTCATGCTGGCTGAAAACAAGCAATGCTCAGATGCAGGTCGGTGAAGCTAAATGTGTGCCACCTGAAGTTAAGACAAATATTCAAGCCATCAGAAACTTATTTTAGGTAGCAGTGCATGCTATGGTTAGAGCATGAATCCTGATAAGACTCCTGAGTTGTGTTGGAAGCTCTGTTGCTGACTGTGGTTAAGAACACTTTCTTCAAGAATAGCAATCGACAAGTTAGAGGCAAATCTATTTTTCTTTAAATAACCCCATGTTGTATCTTAATAGTGTTTTATTATTTATATGCATGCATAGTTCTCACTTTTCTCTGTAGCCTTTTAAAAAATACAGTCCAGTTCTTACAAAAGGACTGAATACATAAGTGTTAGGGACAAGTTAAGAAAACTTCTGCATCACATGCTCTCCCCTCCTGCTAATGCCTTCATCCAGCCAATGGTTTGTCTGCTATGGTTTGTCTGTAGTTTTATGGCCTCTTATGAAATACCAAAGGAAGCCCATAATGGAAAGATACTCTTATTTCATGGGGTGTGCCTTGAGGTGCACAGCTGTTCTGACCCCTTCCAGCAGCAAGAGCCGTAACTATGGGACTTGGAGATCCTCTGGCTGCTTCACTCCAAAGTGAGAGCTGTGAGTCACTTGTGGCAGCGTGTGCTGGTTTCTGCTGGTTGGCCAGGGAGCGGTTTTTGTCTTTCATATCTTTGCTGCTGAACATGTGGATTTTAACACTGTGGAGCATGTTAATAAAGATTAATTGAATACATATTGCTAAAATCTCTTTGTAAGGGTAAATGACACAGTAGTGTTCCCTGGCCACTGCCACGGACTCATCTTGAGAGTACAAGGTGAATGTTAATGTGCTGGATGATACTGATGATGGTAGAGGAAGGCCTTGAGCAGAAACTGCAGTTATTATGCTCCTACCTGTGAGACTGTTGGTGTTCTTTTCTGCTGGAGAAATATTCCAAATACTTGGGATTTGACACTGCTACGTAATTTCAATTGATTCTTAGGAAAACACCAGAAAAATCATGGGTGCTTCTGACTGGAATGATGCTCAGTATGTATCTCAGGATTCAATATTTTCTGAGCAAAATGGGTACATACATATATAATTTATAGTCTTGTTTTCTTTTTCCACTTTACCCTATATTTAAAGGAACATATAAAAAAAGAAGGCCAGGTTTAGGCTGCAGCACAGGAACAAATAGCTACAGCTGTACTCAATATGAACAGTTTAACAACTGTCTCAGTCTTTAATTCAATTTTTGTCTTGAGTACAAACTTCAGAGTTCAATGGTAGAAGCAATGCCACATGGAAGAAATGATGCATAAAATAGTACTTTCCCAGTCCATTGGCCTGTTGGTGTACATTACAGCGTGCAAGTCTAGCATGAGCCTCCAGTTTCCTGAGCAACTGAAAGTGTTCTGCTGCACTTAGGCATCTAACTAAAGGGTGACTTTTTAACTTGTATTGTATTTTCCCCAATTATGACAGTTTTTCTGCCTTCTGTTCCTGTTCAAGTATTGTTTATTATTGCAGACTCTTAAACAGAATGCACATTGGTGAGGTCAAATGAGGTCCTGTAACACTCATCACTGAAGCCTGTGGGATGAACATACCCTCTTTTCACCTAGATGAGTATAACCTTGCATAGCAAGTTGCTTCTTAGAATATAAAAGCAGCGAAGCTTTTTCAGGCTAAAACTTTAATATTTTGTTCCACTGTGCATTGTTTGTGGTCTCAACCAAGCATGTGCCCACACCAAACAGACACAGAAGGCTGTATGGGAAAATAATACAGAACATGTGCTGCTGTAAGACTGCTCTCACTGCTCACTGGAGTCTTTCGTTAGGCTTAATTCTTCCAGGAGCAATATACAGCACCTGTGAGTAGGTCAGATACAGCCTGATATCTGTCTCTATGCAAAGAGCTATAGCAATATTTCAGTGCTTCAAGCCTCTACACAGGAGTTGCTTGTTCTCCCCTCAATGTCTTTTTTTTTTTTCTCCTTACTGACAGCCTTGCTTAGGAAAAAGCAAGGAAAAGAGCTGGTACAGAGTATTTATTTAAACTCGAAATGCTGTCTTGGTCTGTAAAAACAAGCCTTTTCTGATTTCCTAGCTCTGTGCATAAGACTTTAACGAGTCACATCTGGTGGTTCTTCATGTCATGTTACATTATGAATCTTTATGGGCAATTAACTGGTTGGGTATGAAAACACCCACACTAGTAATGGGTCAATGGGCACATCCAGTTTCAAATTCAGCTCAAATTGTTGTCTCTCTCCAAAGAGAAAGCAGACTATTTTCCTTCTGATGAATTTGATGAGACAGTGGTAAAACACAGAGTAAACAGAAAACTTTCTCTGCATAAATATTGGCTGCTGGAAATGGCTAGTGTTCTTCCTCATCTTGTACTTTAAACAAATGTCAATAGCCAAATAACTTCTTCTATATAATTAGGTTTATTATGGCCATGAAAATAATTGTCTGAGATGATATGATGAGTTATTTGAACTGTTTTTGGTTTAAAAGTATTACTTAGTGGGTTTAAGAACAACAATAAAAATGTAGCCTAACGGGACTTATGTGGCCAAAAAAAATCTTTTGACCTTGGTAACTATGGCTGGGTAAGAGTTGTTGCACAAGGTTGTTTCTTTCCACCCTGCTCCTTCTTGTGTTTCTCCTTTGTGGAACTTTACATGAGTGCATTTCCTAAATATTCTCTGCGGGGCGAGGGGAGGCGGCACTCTGAGGTGTGTAGTAACATGATGAGGGGATAATGGTTTTAAACTATAAGAGCTTAATATATAGAGATTTATATTAGATATAAGGAGGAAATTCTTCACTATGAGGGTGGTGAGGCCCTGCCCAGGCTGCCCTGAGGAGCTGTGGGTGCCCCATCCCTGGCAGTGTCCCAGGCCAGGCTGGGGGGCTTTGGGCAGCCTGGGCTGGGGGCAGGGGGCTCTGGTCTCTACCAACCCAAACCATTCTATGATTTTTGTTTATTTATTTATTTTTCCTGACCACATCACAGTCTGTTCTGATGCTGAGTCCTGCCAGTGACTTCAGCTATCCTGGAAAGGGCAAAGAATGCCAGGTGCTCTTCATCTTCCTTATTGAGCTTATTTCTTAGCTATGATCAAAGCAGGTACAGATGTGGCACATGGCTCCTGGGCACAACTGTTTGTCACCATGTTACTCTGGTGCATCAGCTCCATCCATGTGCACTCCAAAAACCATAAGACAGAGTAATTTCCTTGTCGCATCCCTGCAGTGCAGAAACTCCTCCAAAATTATCAGTTGTGGTGGAGGAGAGAAGGAGTTTGCCATGAATGTTGGTGGTGCAAAGCAGGGATTTGCAAGGCTACAGCTCATGTCAGGATGTTAAAGTGTACCTCGTTTATTTGAGGCCTTAATAATGAAAATATGTTGGTATTGATAAAGCAGTGTGAGCTGGAGGGATGGGCAGCACTGTGCACTAGTGGCTCAGCTGCTCGCTGTGTGCAGGAGCCAGGCATGTAAGAAGTTAAACCAAGCATTGTGAAACCAGATCAGGTCTCAACTGTCTGTTTAAAAAGTAACATCTCTAGTTTTTACATGAATTTTTAATTTTAGATGACACCTTTGACTGGAAGTGACAGTGGAGCAGATCATTTGTGTAATTACAGCAACAGTCGTTGAGGAAGGAAAGAATATCTCCAAAGCATATAAAACATGAAATGGATTTGATAGTGTATGAACCCTGTAACCGGAGCTGCAGGAACCTCCTGGCTTAGAGAGGCTGCAAACCTGGTAATGTCTTAGCCGAGGTACTAAAAAGTCATGAGATCAGTCTTCCTCTGCTCTTCAGGTGAAGTGAAGTAATTAATACGGTGGAAAATGTGAACTTTTAATGAGTCTAAGAAGGCTTAGTCACCCTGCTAACAACAGAGATGTTAATGTGCTGGATGGCTGCAGAAGGGGTGCTTGGAGTTCGCTTTGTTATTTTAAATTCTTTTCAGGAGGACGGCAAGCACTGGCCATTAGCTTAGTGTAAATAACTGGCTCACTTTCAAGTTGCACCTCTTCTAGAAATGTTTTGAACATGCCACCTTTTTTTTTTGTTCTTACAACAAGCTGTCCTTAAGCTAATAATTATTTCTTTCTCATTGCAGGGTGAGATACTTTACACGTCGTTCTAGGAAACATCATGCATGATGTAAATGTGTTGGGATTTCCTACAATGAACACACAAGGCAATCAGCAGAAAAACTGGAGTATCTACAAAGCAAGATTGAAGCGATGTGCTGCTGAAAAGGAAACTTCCTGTGATGGTAAAACAAATGCTTAGGATGTGTTGCAACAGATTCCCTAAATACTGTGCCCAAGATTTTCTCACACGGTAACCTGTACACAGCTGAGAACCTGGTAATGATCCTAGAAGTCTGTTTTTGATAAATGGGAAATTATTTTCTGCTATTTAAAAATGTGAAATGTAAAAATGTGAAATGCATTTTTTCTTGCTTATGTGAATATCACAGCTAATTAGCCTTAGTTAAGTAAAGCATAGCCTTTTTAAATTAGAGACAAGTTCCTTTGCCCTCTGAAGAATTGTCTGTTATTTGCATTGTTAATATTAATATCCTGCAGCGTCTAAACTCTGAGACTGTGTCATTGGAGACAGCCTTGTAACAAACAACTTGGATCTCCAGTAAAATCACGACTTTTAGATTTATTAAAAAAAAATAATAATAATAATAGAAACAAGTAGTGGTGAGTGAAGTCTCATGTTTAAGGTAAAACAGATTCAAGCTGCAAGCCTCTGAAAACTCAATTTGTACCTTCTCCAGAATATATTGTATGCAATTGAGCCAAAACTGTCAGAGCAAGTGAAGCTGTCTCACCAGTGCTGGTGGGAACTCCAGGAGCTGTAAGGTGAGTGAGCGATGGGCTGTGAGGGCTGCTGAGGAGGTGAGGTGCAGCTCCTGGTGATGCCCCCCAGGCTGCAAGGCTGAAAGGGGTGTCTGGGCAGTATGGTGGGGATATTGGGAGCTGGTAGTAAGCCTTTCTCTTTTGTTCCTGCTCTGTCATTCCTCTGTAGAAGGTAGATGAAAAGCAGGCCTTGAGCAGGAATATTTATCAGTGTCCCTATTTGCCACCTCACTTAAAATTACCTACATATTGTGACAGTAGTTTTGAAATTATAGAGTGGTGGCAATTGCATAAACAAATGGTGCTTTAAAGCAACAACTCTGCAGATTTTCATGTGCTATGGTATGTGAGCAAATGAGAACACACTTGTGTTAACCAGAGAAATGTGAGGATGCGAGTGCTGAGCTATTGCAGAGCTGGAGGAGAGGCAGAGTTTTGGTTGTGTTTAAAAAAAAAAAAATCATAACAGAGTGAAGAAAATGCTTTTCAGAGTTGCTATGTTCTTGAACTGCACCCATATGAGCAAAACAACAGAGCAGGGACAGTGGGTATGGGATTTAGTGTGCTGTGCAGGCAGGTGGGACACCCCATCCTCTGCCATCTCCAGCTGCTCAGGCTGGGACCTGACCTAAGTAAGTGCTTTGCAGCAGGCAGGTGTTCAGCTCATAAAGTACGGGTGAGGGATAAGTGAATGCAGATCAACTGGAAAACTATGAAAAGTATTCCTAGAGATGAGGTAGAAGTAAGTAGAATTTATTTGCATAGCAATGAGTACTGAAAGGGTTAGGTTAACGTGTCTTAAATGCTGTGAAAAATACATGACTCAACATGGAATGATCTTTACTGTTTGTTTTGCTTTCACTTGAAGATCACTGTGAAGACCAAATGCTTCCTGAGATGGGTACTGTTCTGGTGCCTACATATACACCAGGAGGACTGGAAAACTGCCCCAAAGAGTTAAATGGCTGCTCAACATCAAAGACAGCAGAGAGATGTCTGACTGTGCTCAGTGTGTAAGTACTGTTGTATTACAACTCCTCCATTGTGAACTGAAAATATGTTTTCACATACACGGTAAAAAATAGAGGATTTCCACCAAAGTTGAGGTCTTTCATACATGTCCTGATGGACTAGGAAATAGCTTGAAGTTCTTCATCAGTTGCTCTATTAAATGATCTAACTGAAAGTAAATGCTATTAATAAAGAATTAAATACTGAAATAGGATGCATGATTTCAAATTGAAGGCCATACAGTTGCATACAATCAATAGCTAACACCTAGCTAACAATATCAAAACTCCTTGGGAGGTTTAGAAGACCCTGTCCCATTAATTGTAATAACTGAGCACCCAGATCCCCAAGATGACTTTAAAGTCTGTCTAAACATATCTTTCTGCTCAGTGTTCACAGGGTTGGGTGGAAGCAAAGATTCTGGGATATGATAATTTCATACTAGAATAAATCTTGTATAAGTTAAAATCCCTGCAAGCTCCAAAGTAGTAGGAGTTATGTACTGGGGAATCTTTAACAAGATTACTGGTTCAATAAATGAAGATTTTATCTCGGCTCCTTTGAGACGAGGAAGACACCAAGGGATTGAAGAGAAGCAAATACAACCCCAGCTTGCAGAGGGAGGAGGAAAGCTAGGGAAAAACAGCCAGGATATGATAGACTAGTACATCTGACCTTGGTGCTAGGCAAAACTCTAGAAACATTAATAAAAGATGAGATCAGAACATCTGGAGAAATAAACTAGTTGGCATGGTTTCATAAGGGGTAAATCCTGTCTGACAAATCAGTTGGAATTTTTTAGGGAACTAATGTAGAAAGCAGGCGTGGGTGAAAGCACTGGGCTTATTTTTGTCCTTTTGGACTCCAGGCACCAACTGAAACAGAAAAGATGGCTTGCACAACTGAAGTGTATGGGTTAGAGTAACCCTGGTGTAAGAGGGAGGAAAGTGAGGTGTAACAGGAGGCAGTATCGATCTACAGCTGATACTGAGGATTAAGCAACAGCTCCATGCATGTCTTCTACAAAACATGTGTAACATGTCTAGTGGCATGAATAAAGTGAAGTATATGGATTAAATTTAGAAAGGACTTCTGCACAAGATGGAGGAAGTGTAGAAGTGTTCCTCAAAGTAGGTGATGAATAAACTGAAGTTTGAAGGTCTGAGTTATATCCGTGATCTATCCTCAGGTATATTTTTCAGAACTGTAAGCAAGGAACTTACAGGACCAACATGAAGGATCGGCATAAACCCTAAGCATGAGCTGTGGAGCGAGCAATAACTTTAATTTGGCGTACTGTAAAGTACTTACCTGGACCTCCATAGGCTCCTCTGCCTGATGTGGGACACTGCGGCATCAAATGGACATCCTGGAGATTGGAAAGGGCAGAGGATGGCAAGAAGGACAGCAACAATACTTATGAATTTGCTATGTGCAGAAAGCCTGAAAAACCTGGAAAAGCATTTGGGGGGAGGGGAGAGAGCTTTCTCTTTCTATGTTTGAAAGATGCATAGGAGGAGTTTGGGAGTAGAACTATTGAAAAACTCCTTAAACTTACTTTGAATCACAGAATGTGTTCATAAATGTGAAGTGTAAAGGAAAGTAGGTGAAATAAGAGTATAAATGCTTTTATTTCTTTCAGGATGAAAGAAACTTAAATTGCTGTCACTGTGCCCAAAAGGAGGCAGCCTGCATTGCCACCTAGCTGGGCTAAAATACAGGGAGACATCAATGGAGCAGAGAGTGGGGTTTGGCACTGGTTTTCTCTAGCAGAAGTTCCATCTTGATCAGTTATGTAGTTGAAGGCCAAGTGATTAATCTAAAGTATTAAGACAGGAGGAAGAGCTGTGTGTGGGCAGTGCTGGGGGCTCAGCTGGTGGGCAGTGCCTTGCTTGTCTGGATGCTCTGCCAAAGGGCATGAGGAAAGGCCAGAGCTGTACCTGGAGAGAGATCTTGTTTTGTACATTGCATCCTGTGCTGCTTGTCTCATCCATGTCATTCACAGAGGCTCTTCTAACTCCCTCATCTTGGGGGATGATGGGGCATAACACAGCAGGACATAATACCTGACACAAATTATTTGTCAGGTGGAAAGCAAAATAAAATCAGAGGGCAAAGAAAAATACTTAATAAAAATCCTCTTATAAATACTGAAGACTCCCAATAAAGAAAAATACTGATAGAGATGACTAGCATGAAGTTGAAGGGCTTCAAGCTAAACACGTGTCAGGGTCTGGGTTTACTGGACTCATGTAAATGGATGAGGAGACAAAGTGCATCAGTGCTGGAATGCCATTGAGCAAAGTGACTGTGTACACATGCTGTGACCTACAAGTGATTAGCTAGCAGCAATCTTGCTAGTTTTATTGTTGAGTCACAAAAACACTTGCTGTATATATGACCTGCTAATTAGTCCACTAGCACAGCTACTAATACACTAATTTATGGAGAAATAACATGAGAAAAATTGAGGCAGTGCAGTTTGTTTTGTAATGGAGCTGCATGCACATTCTCTTATCCAAAGTGTACTGAACTTTGTGGATAAAAATAGAAATACCACTGTTGCCTCATGCTCAGTGACACTGTTGATGTGATGTGAGCCAGAGCAGCACAACGTTCTCTGCTCTAAAAAATCACTTTTTCCATCAGATTGTATAAGTGCTGCATAAAGCCACTCTTGTGTTTTTCTTAGATTTATTCAAATTATACTTATTAAACTATGTGTTCAGGTTGGGTTTTTCCTTACAATAAACAGTTGGTAAATCAGCATGGCCAAAAAAAATAATAAATTCATCTGAAACCTTGAAAATAAAACATACTTAATGTGAGAGAAATCATTTCTTAGGGACGGAAGTTCACATCCATTTACTGGTTTATATGACTTGTGCATACTTCTGCTCTTCATGGGCTTGTTTAGGAGTGATGACCCCAAAACACAATTGGGATGTTCTTCTGGGATTTGTTGTCTGAGCAAAAACAGGAAATATAAAAATCTTGTGAGAAACTGCTCTAACGCACTGCTAACCCTTTTTGTAGGGCCAAGATCGAGGGGCAGTGCAAGTTGCAAGGTTTATATCTAACTGCTCAGGTGCATTTCCTTTTGAATCTGGCTGCTCTGGTAGTTTTCTGCCATTTTTTCCTCCCCTATTTCTGTGAATTTTAACAATATTTGTATTCAGTTCTACTAGAGTATTAGTTCACTTACTTCAAGACACTTTGTATTATATATGATGGAGCAGATATAAACTGGAGTAACTCCAATGCCTTCCCAGAGCATGAAGCTGTTGTGTCAATGAAGCTGTATTTCTCTTTTAACCCACTTCTCACTTTTCTGCTTTTTCCCCAGTGCCTCCAGGAATGAGTCACTAATAGCTGCTATTCAGGAAAAAAGTGAGAACTCTTTCAGTCTATAATTCACCCTCACAATTCAAGCAACCGAGTCACTTTTGAACCCTTCTATATTGCATCATTACATAACCACCAAAACAGATGCAGTGCTCAGCTTGTAAAGATAATACCAAATTCACTGCAGGACTGCTCCGATCTCCCTTTCAAATCCTGTTCAGGTCAATAGGATTTCATCACATGCTCTTAAGCTGACGTCAGGTGCTTGGAGTCACTGTACCTGCTCCCCATCTGTGTCATTTTCTTGCAGTGACGAGCCGTGCGTGTGACTGATGCTGTGTGCTGGTGGCTCATCCTGCTGCATGTGGTGCTGTGACCTGCCTAATCAAGCGCCATGAGACTCTAACCTGCAGAACATGATGGGAATCGGTACGCAATTTAAATCTGTCATGCTTTTTTTTTTTTTTCCCTGCTACAGATAAAAGTATGTTGATTTGCCAGCCCCAACTGTGAAATGTTCCCACTGCCTGAACCATTTTCTGCACAACACTTGTTTTCTTTGTAAAAGCTTTTTTCTATTGATCTGAATTGACTTGTGCAGAAAAGCCTTGTGAGTTCAATGCAAATTGTTACTGGGCACTTACTGTGAGCAGCAGAGCAATACAAAAGGATGCTGTTGGTGTAGATGTACAGTGTATGTATTTCAAGACATGTCTCCCTGTATTGATATTTAGTCTGATCTTGCTTTCAGAGTATAAGCAAGTAGTCAATTAATGCATTTTTAAATGTTTTGAGGAGAAGCTAAATCTAAAATCCGAGGAGGGCACATGTTTGGTAGAGTAATGCTGAATCTGTGCATTTTTCCAGATTGAACTGAAATTGATCTCATTCTTTCAGCTAAGATAACATCAACTACTAGACTTTTGTCCCAGGTGTACGTTGGAGATGGGGAAAGGCACCAAAATGCCACCAGAAACAGCATCTCATTTAGCTTTTTTTTCCCTTGCTGAAATAATTGTTTTTAAGAAGTCCTCTTTCTGTGAGTCAGTTGTGCAGTTCAGTTCCTTTACTGAAGACCTGTGGGTATGTTTGGGGTCAGAAGAAATATCAATTTAATGATTTAACCATGCATACTCTGTAGCCTCCTTAAGCTCCCTGCTGCACACCAGGCTCTCAGCCCCTAGGTTGTCCACATGCCAGCCACAGTGAGTGGGGTGAAGTCTTGTTTGCTTGAGGTGTATCTATGCTAGCAGGATTTGGCCCTTCATAGTTTTGTTCAAAAAGACTGAAAATACGTTATAAAGCAGCAAGGCTTGTTGTAGGTAAACATTTCCACATCTGTGACAGAATAAAGCGCCCAAAGAGAATGCTTGCAGTATTCATGATGGTTTTCTAGCTCCAGAATAAGAAGGATTTGATGGTAAAAAGACAAAAAAATGACTCTTCTGTTCATGAACAAAATCTCCAGGAGCATGCAGGTGGAGCAGCAGACTGCAGCAAGCTCTTCCATGCAGCTGAGCCGTGCTGTTTACCCAAGCTTTGTCCCAGCAGCTCCCACCTCTGAGCCTTTCCTGAGCATGAACTACAAAATTTAGCTCAAAGCTGTCAGCCAAACCATAAATTATCAAATTTATACTTGCATTAAAATCTCTCTGAGGCTGGTTTGCACATTTTCTGATAAATCAATAAGCTTCTGCCAGTGGAGGCTAGCTTTAAGTTGCATTTCTGAGTTATTTTCAATTTTGACATCTGCATGAGTGCTGTGTTGGGCTTGCTCAGGTGGAGAACCTGGGTTATGCTTCCTGTTCATGGAGCAAGGATGTGCCTCCAAGTCCCTTATGCCAAGGAGTGGAAACATTCACATGAAATATGACGAGAACAGAAATGTAAAGATTTCACTTTGTTGGGTAAATATCTTATGTGATTCCTTTCTACATGAACTGAAGAGCAGCCATGGCCAGAATGACTATCCTCGACGTGGAACATGCTTCCTATGCTATGATTCTCATCTGCTGGAGAGTGAAAAATAAATAAATAAATAAAATAATAATCTAGTGCCTACATTCAGAAAAAAGCTTGTACTTGTGGTGCCATCTTCCAGAAGATGGTGTCTGGTTTCATGGCTGCTCACTCAGTGCTTACAGCAAGAGCTTCTCAACACAAACTCTCATAAAAAATGTAGTTTTCAATGCAGGGTACGAAGAATTCTTTTGTTGCTTAGATTAAAGACAAACCCTTTCTTATCAGGGCAAGGAAAAATTAATGCCAATGGCATTTGGTGTTTTTGTGTGCATGTTTTTCATTTTTTAAGAATGATTGGTTTGCACAGAGGCAAGATGACTCCTCTGCTTGTTCCTCCCTTGTCTTTCTCTCTCCTGCCAAGCTGGAGTTGGCACATGGTTTCACAAGGGGAAGCCTTTTGCAGGGGGCTGCAGTGGGTGGCAGCCTCTGAGGAGCCTTGTGGGGGCACTATGGGAACCTGTGGGGCAGGAGAGCTGCTGCAGGTTAGAGACTGGAGATAGCTAAAGCCTTAACCGTGCTTTGTAACTATTTAAAAAGCAAAGCTAGATCTCTTTCCCCATGATATGCATTGCAGCCCAAATCCGTCAAGGCTCTTGCATCTCACTCTAAGCCCATGAGCAGGCCCCTGCAGAACCACACATGGGCTTCAGCCAGCCCGCGCTTACACACGCGGTGTTGATTCAGGATTAAGGTGAACAGAGCTGGCTCCTCTGGGGACGTATATATTAGACTTCTCAAAAAACTTTTGACCTTAGCCATGCTCATTTTGTATTTTAAGTAATCGTGATGGCTCCCACGATGTAACACCTCCTGAAACTCGCGGTCGGCTGCTAGTGTGGTTACAGGGTGAAGGTTTTGAAAGCGGCCAAAATGGTTCGAGGAAATAAATCCTGTTGAATGCCAGTGTGACCCGAGCACCACGCTCCCCCAGGGCTTTTGGATCATCCCACCTCATAAGTTGTGGGCAAAAATATTAAATTTTCTGGTGATTTTGGTGCTTCCATTCCAAGTCAGTTTGCACAAAGTTTCTGGCAGGGAACTCTGCTCAAAAACCTGAGCTCTTCTCAGCAGCAGCGTCACAGGTCGGGTGCACAGAAAGTCACCTTTCAGTTCTGAACCTGGCAATTGTGATTTCAGAAGTGAGCTGTCCCAGCAAAGTATTGCAGCTGAAGAACAGAGAAACACAAAGCAAATACATTAGGTTGTAAATTCATTTTCTGCAGTAACTTTTACATGTCTTCAGTATTTCACGAGGCTGAGGAGCAGAGAGGAAATTAAGAAGTTTACATACAAACTGCAACACCCTTCAGAGTGAGAAATTATGTTTTTTTCTAATCATACGATGCTAAAACTACTTTCTCAAGTAAAACACCTCAGGCTGGTGTGGGAGCACGTTGTGACACTGCTGTCCATGCGGAGGGCTGGGGCAGGGACATCCACGGGCAGAGCTAATGAGCACCGAGTGACAACGGCATCGCCACCCAGGCACGTGTGACACTCACATGAATATCAAATGAATTCATTATAATCACAGCTATTTCCATGAATACCAAATGAACTTATAATAACCGAACTCCTAAAGAGTTACTATTTTGTTCTTAAAAAAACAACAGAAATAGGGAAAAAAATTAACCTCGTTATATTTTGGAGAGGTGATATTTAAACAAGGTTTTTGAAAAAGATTCAGGCAGCTGGTGATAGATTCTGTCCACATTTTTTTTATACAAATATCATTTTTGGATGCTGATTGCAGATAATGAGGACATAGAATGTTTTAATTGCTTAACTATCTCGAGTTAAGTGTGGGTTTTCTTGAAAATGCATGTCTATACTGTAAGAGGACTGTGAAGGTAACACTCCAGGAATGTATAAGCTAACGAAGTGTTCATATGTATGTTCATAGACATCTTTCAGATGTCTCTTGAATTCCTGAAACAAAAAACTGGAGTCAAACATTGGCTTCCACAAGAACATCAGAAAACTGTAACTGAGGTGTGTGTAATTGAGTTATAATTATACTCCACAGACTGCAAATACCTTAAAATCTGTAAGCAATAGTTTAAGAGAGGCTGAGGGCATTGCAGGAGAAGGGTTGAAACTTTGCTGGTGGTGTTGAAACGTGGCCATTTGTGTGAAAATGGTTGATGTGCAATCTGTCGGGATAAATGGGCTTTGACTTATTCACCCTAAATATGAAAAAAAAAAAAAGAGTAAATCATGGTCAAGCTTTTCTTGCATTGTGGGAGCAGCTCCTGAAATACCAATTAGAAGCTATAATGGGAGCTTGGGGTGGGTCTATACAATGAGAAACTTCTGGGTCAGGCAGGAGGCAATAATAATAATACCAAGTACATTTCCTTATTTAACTTTGTTTTTTATTGTGTTCAGCCTCTAGCTGATTTTTTTTTTTTTACCTTGTAACATAGTCCCTAATTGAGACACATGAAGCTCATAAGAGGCTTTAGACAAGATTCAGCTAGCCACAAAAGTCATTATCTCATTTTCATTTATTAACATGATATTTCCAATGGATTAACGAGGGTTTCCCTTTTGTTGCCTCTGCTATGGCACTAGCCCTAAAGGGGCTGTTGCGTCTTTCCATCTCAAGTGACTTCTTACTCACATTAGATTACAGTAATGTACGTGTTACAGGAATGACATTTATTATACTTCTCGAATTAAAATTCCCTATTTGAAGTAGCTTTAATTGCTGGAAGTAGGATAAAGTGAACTTGAGTGTTGATTTTAGCAATGAGCTAGCATCAGAATAACTGCTGCTAGAACTGGACATGTGAAAATACTCTCCCCTAACTGCAAATATTGAATCCTGTGACAGTTTCAGGTTCCTGAGGAAGCCAGGGGTGGTCTAAAACTATTCCTTGTGTTTCCGACAGTGCTCAAAGTCATGTTTCAAGTGTTAGTGGTCCTACCATTTT